GTATAATACTACCCCCTAACTTTATGGATGATTTTATGGATTTAATTTTACGTATTATACTTGAATAAAAACGGTAAGTCTTAAAGTGCCTGTGACATGCAAATCCTTTAAATATAGAATATAATAAAAACATATTTATATAGAAGAAACTTGGCATAATACATGATTTTAACCATTTGGTCACATAAGTGGCATATGTTTTTATTTGGCTCAGCCAAAGTGAAACAGGAAGTGACATCAAAGTGAAACTCTTTAAGAAAGAACTTCACAATCTTTGTTTATTAAAATATTATTATTTGAACTCTTCATCACTCTGATAGACTCAAATAATCTAAAGAAACAGATTCTTCAGTATGTGTTGTTAGCGACTGTAGCCTCGCTCTGATCATGTTCACAAATTTCCCTTTGACATCACTTCCTGTTACTTCACATACAAATATCTCAATAACTGTTCATCTTAGTAGTGTGAATTTATTTTTTTGCAATATATTTTGTTATATTTCCAAAAAAGTTTTAATATTTACTACAAAAAAATTGATGTTACAGGCACTTTAAAACATACAGCAAATTGATTAACATCACAGTTCACTCAATTAAAATATGGGGTGACAAAAACAAACCTTGTATTTATTACCAAAAAAATTAATTATTTGTAAAGTGTGGGATGATGCTTTTAGTGTAAACACACATTTAAACCAATGAGGCTTTAAATAATATKATTTTAAATAGAAAAAAGTGATATTTGAAAAGAAAAAATCCTACTTGGAGGTTTCAGGAAGTCCAGCAGACAGCTCGAGGAACACGGAGAGGTAGTTTCCACGAACAACACCGTTCCCATCCTGAGAAAAGCCAGTAAGAGTTAACCAAGCGCAGACGTTTTAAAAACGTAGCGGGAGGAGAAAAAAATGTTTCAAAGTTACCGGGTAGACTTTGAGTCTCCAGCAGAGACCAGATATTTGCAGCGGAGGGCTGTAGACAGGGTCGGCTCTCTGCCTCAAGGTGCTGAAACACAAACACAAACACATTACATCATGTTTTTTATAATCTGAAGTTAAAGTTTTCCTGAATTCATCAACTAGACTTATTTTCCCTCATGCTAATCAACTTTAAATAGCTCCTAATAAACATAAAAGTTTGTTGTTGCTACGAACAATTAATCAGTTTCTGAAAATGTTAAATGAAATATTCCTAAAATGAAGCCACAAATAATTAAAATCTTTAAAAACCTACTTTTTTTTCAGCTGAAATGACTTTTCGTTTCATTTCTGGTTGTAATAAATGTTTAAGATTTCTGATTTCCTCCTCTTCTGTGCATCAAATTTATAATTTTTATTATTAAACTGAATTATTTCTCGCAGCCCTGCTGTTATGTGGTAACACAAAGAACACACATCAAACTCAAGGCCCGTGGGCCAAATCTGTCCCTCTTTACCATTTTGTCTGGACCCAAATGAAATAC